GGGGTTGCTCTGGTGCGGTTGGGTCCTTCTTTCCTATTATCAAACATATTGTCCTTATCTCCTTACTTTGTTGTTGTTGTTTTTGTTGTTGTTTGTTTGATACTCTCTTGTGACACCTTTAGTCTTCGGCACTTTTATGACCCAATTGTGTTGCATGCGCCGTAAAACTCTTGACTAAAATGTAATCAAGACAATCATCTAGTATTTGTGGCAACGCGATAGCCCAATGCCCTGCGCATGCTAAGAAGATTTTTTTTAAAAAGTGGAATAATAATATTAGGCACCTTCTTTGTATTGGCGCTTCTGTTTGAAAAAGAAACGACGACAACAATGGTATTAATGATAACGATGGTCTCAATGTAAGGGTTGAACGTGGGTATAGTCGAATCTGCACTAATATCCACCCGTGTAAGACAATCACCGTTACAAACAACCACTTTCCATAAATCCCTCCCCACCCTCCCGTCTATATTTTAAAAAAGTATATATATAATGGTGAGTGGTTGGCGGGTGCTCTGATCTGGTTTGGTCCTTCTTTCTTATCAAATATCTATAGTTCTTATCTCCCCTCTTTCTGTTTTGTGTTTGTTACTTTCTTGTAACGCCTCTAATCTTCGGCATTTATATATTACCTTATTGTGTTGCAAGTGCCGTAAAGCTCTTACTTAAAAAACGAAACAAAAAAACAACAACATTATAATACCACTTTGACGGACATCTGTCAACGACCCTTATTGTGTTGCCAGTGCCGTGAAACTCGTACGAAAAAAAAAAAAGAAAGAAAAAATATGTCAACGACGGCCACTTTTCTCTTCAATTGTAATGGGTGGCCGTCTTAGACCTTGAAACTATTACTAAAACTAAAACGAAATCTTACCATACAATATAACGAAACATTAAGAAATCAGTACAGATCTATGTCTTACCATGCACGGTTATCCGTTCAGAAAGGACACAGAGCAAGATCATCCAACCGAGGCTCACCACTCCCATCATGTAGCAGGGCAATCAATGGTAGTAAGACAGAGATGATGTGTGGAACTGCTTTTGCTGTAGACACACACACCAACACCAAAAATGGAAAGGTGAAAAGTCAGAGATGAGATTGTCTTCACGATTTGTATTTCACGTCACGTCGAAAAATAATTGATTTTCCTTCTCGAGAAATCCTTTGGAAATGGACAATGTTATAATGTATTGCGCTCCAATGTATCGGTCTCTATTACACTCTCTTTCTCTCTCTTTCTCTTCCTCTTCCTCTTTCTGTGCTGATAGCGCGATCGGCCTCTTTTCAAATTTGTTTTCTCCCTCAGTTCCTAATTTGTCCCCGCGAACGTCCCCGGTTATGATTTGTTTTGTTACTGCTGTCGCAGGCAGGGCTGCTTTTGTTTTGTTTGTTTGTTTGTTTTTTCTTTCTTTTTTTTCTTTTCCTTCTTTTTCGAAACAGTTAATATTTCTCTTGTTTGGTGTGGTGGTTCATCGAAACTGCTATAATAAGGCCGTTATGAGTTTTCGTTTCGCCAACAGGCGTACGGCCGAGTCGCTGGCGCCTTGTGTTCTTGTCCTGGAGGACGACGTTTGTGTGTGGGGGGTGGTGAGGTGACCGCTGAAGTGACCAGCTCAGCTACTGCTGCTACTGCTGCTGCGTAGAGATTTCCTCTTCCCT